CCCGTTTGCCAGGCCGCCCGCGGGACGAGAGTCTTCGTCATGCGGGGGGGGGGGCGTGCGCGGTGAGCCCGGCGGCCGCGGACGCTCTGCGAGCTGCTGCCGCTGCTGCTGCCAGCCGGCTTTAACTAGGTCACGGCAGACGGGGCTCCAAATGTAAAGCGCTAAACGTTGACAGATTATTCCATCAGCTGAGGAGGACGTATCACTCGGTCGGTGCGTTTCCCCCTCAAATGGACGTCCGGACAGCCAGCGTCTTGAGAGTCGTGGAAATGTGCAGAGCGCGGCCTCATTTCACACCTGTGTGCACAGATTGTGTTTTTTTTTGTTGAAAGTTTTGCACAACGTCAATTCCAACCGGAGATGAAAGGCCCTTCTGACCGTAGTGTGCGATCCCCTCGCCACGTTTCACCATTCTGGCTGAGCGGTTGCAGTGGATACGACTAGAGAGCCCCCGCCACGTGTCGAGAACGCGTCTTCTTGGCTTCGTCCTGGTCTCTCTGAAGCAAAATAGCCGCTCGTGCTTCTGCCTGATGCATTTCCTCAAACCGCAAAGTAACACCCGGCAACCCAAGGATGCCCGAGCTGGCACGAGCGTGTCCTCGTTTCATCCTCCTCAACCTCTTCCCGGCCAACGTGTATAATGTGCAGCAGTGCAATCAGTGCTTAGAGGTAATTGATAACAAAAGGGCAAATTGAAAACACCCTGTAGGGGAGGGGTTAATAATCAAGCGCACCACATCGCTGATTAAACGCCTGCTGCATAGTTGTATCGAATAAACAGCATGTGGTTGTGCTTTTCCTGTTTATCTCAGGAGGTATTTGGCTTTAGCTAAATCCCCCTGGCTTTTGTCAAGCCTCCTCCTCATATAAAGCGTTTTACATGCTGATTCGCTGTTACGTCAGGCTGCGGCTGGATTCGGCGCACCGTAAGACAATAACGTCGTCCAAGAAAACGAGCTCCACAACAGACAAATTGGTTCACGCTAAATGTTAGGAATGTGCGGCGAGCCAGCATGGTGTCCACTTCTCCCCCCCCCCCTCCGTCTCCCCCCTCAAAGCCCATTACAGCCGGTTGTTACGATGCAGGATGGAGACATAAAACTTAGCAGGGTAGATGGGAAGCAACGCTCCGCCTTACACCGTCGGGCAGCCAAAGGGTGGGGTTTGATGTTGTCACTGAGAAGCTCACACTGGTTGAGTGTAGTCATCCACCTACGATGCCGTAGTTCCCCAGCGGGGGGGTGTGCCGGCCTCCTGCCCGGCATCAGCGCGCAGGTGGCATGCCACGCATACCCGGGCTGGCCGCGCTGGGGTCGCCCCCCGGGGGGGGGCCGAAAGGGTGTGAGAACCCAGCAGACGGCGAGAGGACGTGGCGCTTTTCCCTCATGCTCTCGTCTCATGGGAACCGTTTTCCTCTCGATTACAGCCGACAGGCTTCGCCCGGCGTCCAAACCACAGGACGGAGCGGCGTCCACTCGCTTGTAACCATTCGGTTTAATAATTAGTGTCTTGATGTGAGACACTCGTCTGTTTTTCCAACCTCCAAGTAATGAGATTTGGAAATTCCCAGTTAATACCGAGCCTGTGTTTTTTATTAGGGCAATTATCCAATACTTTATGAATCTCTGCATGTCGAAACGTTAAAATCCCTCTTTATGTTTTTCACACAACTCTTTGGCCAAATGGAGGTGAAGAACGGATTTGATTCAGGAGAGTAAAGCACATTTGATGCTTCGGGTGATAGCCGACTAACACATTTGATGACTGTAGATTTGAATGGGCAAAGTCAAAAAAGACACGTAACTACACTGGGAAATGAACACCAATGACCGTGAGCCCTAAAAAAACAATGTTGTTTAAAAAGCGTCCCATGAATATATTCATTTCCTGAATCAACGCTATTCATTCCCAGCAACTCAACACCTAGTTCCCCATCAGTGGCAGGAGAGAACAACGAAGAGCCGATGTGGTGACAGTTGGAAAAAATTATGTCAGGGAATATTTTGTTGAAGTGCAAAACTACAAAAAAAAAAAGAATTGCAGTGTGCAGAAAATAAATTAGAGACGGAGGTACAAATGGCATTTCATTTGTGCTTCGTGACCTGTTTTAAACACAACAACTTACCTTTAAATCTCTGACTCGAGGCCTGAGCTTGTCTACAATGACTCGGTCCCACCTCTGGGTAATAGTGAAGCCGAGCGTTGCCGCTGACCCGCTTATTCTCATCTCGGCATGTGAACCCTCTGCTCCGCCTGCCAATGACACACTGATGCTCGCTAACGTGCACTGGAATCTCTGACCCGTGTCACAAGTTGCGTGTACGGTACGTGCCTCAGTAACGATAATGCATGAATTGCCACTGCGCTGCGCTGCTGTAGCTTGACGTTATCTGTGGTGACTAAGGGCTCATCGCCTGTCGTCGCTGACAAAGACCCATTAATAGTTGGTGGAAAAATTAAAGGGAAAGCTTTTGGGTCTGTTCCAAACACATCCAGGAGGCTCATTGTGTGTGTGTGTGTGTCCTCCTGCTCAGGGCTTTGTCGGCCCGCGTCCTTTGTGCCCTGTTTAGATGAACGTTCAAAGTTGAAACCGTTACCACGTGCAGTCGGAGTCACATGCGTTGTTCCCCATTAACCCCGTGGTGTCCATCGGAAGAGTCCTTTTTGAGAGGGGTAAAGTCTGCAGGTCTCATCTCCCCACACGGCATCAAACACTGTTTATCAAGACGAGCGACTCGCCCAGTTCAGGGCAGTTAAAAAACGTATCGTATACCAAAGGCTGTGGATCCGATGTCCTAGACAGGTGAGGCTGCGCAGTCCGTTGTTCCCATAAAGCATCTTTGTTCAAATCATCCTCGATACGCTAAGTTTAAAATGCAAACGTAACGGAGGCCCAGCAGAACAACCTGATCCAAACACGGGAGCCGGTAGAGCTTCTCGCAGGGTGTTGCATCTGATGGGAAGTTAGTTCATCACACGCAGGAGAGGCAGCGTCTTTGGCTCTGCAGGCGGACTGAAGCTAACAGGATTGGACGTGCAGATTAAGGCCGCGGTGAGGCAGACGGCGGGTAACGAGGAGGGGCTGCATCTGTCAGCGGCACAGTCGAGCCCACCTCCTCACCTCGCAGCTGGGGCGGGACGGCCTCCCGGCAGGCCCGGTGTGGGTGGGTGGGTGGGGGGGTTTAGGAGCAGAAGGTGGCTTTTTCTCCTGCACAGTTGGCTCTCCCACCCTTGGCTTTTGTCGAAGCGGCGGAATATGTTACGGGATAAAGAATGGACCACGTGACTACTGGTACGTTCAAGGCGTTATCGGTCGATTCCCGCGTTTCACCTCCGGGGCCTCAGAGCTTTTCTGCCTCTCCACCGGAATGTGTGTCGGTCGGTGGTCTTGGAAGCGCCACAAACGTCCCTACTGAGGGAAATATTTACATGTTTCCGCATTAGCTCCGACCACTGACTGTACGTACCAAAACCACCAAACTACCATTTGATGCATGGCTCCGCGCGAGCGCTCAGAGCCTCGCTTGTTTGGCTTGGATGTGGGCTGATCGACGAGTACCGAGACGGTGCGGACGCGTGCTCGCCTACGTTGACGCGTCGGAGCTTCTCTCCATTTTTGCCGCTCGCCTCGCGTCTGTTTTCGGCGGCGTCATTGCCGCGCGTGTTGCCTGAAGACACGGAGAGGCTCCTCGCATTTACCCCTCGGGGTAAATGTCCCACCAACTGGTCGGGCTCGTCTGGTGAGTTCCTACCAGGTGTTCAGGTGGAGGAGCGGGGGCGTCCCGGCACCTGGTGACCTGCTTGTTTTTACTGGGCTGGAGGTCAAAGCTAAAAGGGTTCGGAGGAGGCGGGGGGGCTATTTTTGCTCAGCACATTCTCAGCACAAGACTTTGACGCAACTGCTTTGGAATTTCGGCTCCTTGTAATTTGTAAATAGTTTCTAACTTGACAAATGATGTGAGTTATTCAGCCATTTGTACCTCTGCTTAGTCTCACAGGCTTTTCAAACAACGGTAATTCCTTTCAATTTGTTCAATTCTATTTATGTTAATTCACCATTAATCTCATTGGAGCTTTGATAAATACGCCATCTCAGCTGCCGAGGACGGATTATTAATTATTGTGTCTCTCTGAAAAACGAAGGGTCCATAAAGGCGTATATCGAAATAGCTGCTCTGTTGCTCATTTAAGTGACTTCCGCTTGAAGACGCACTTTGCTTGCGCAATAGTTTCTCATTGAATTGCGGTTTTCTTTGATGTAAAACACTTAGTCACTTGCAGGAATGCGTTCAGGGCGGGGCGTCGATTCCACGCCAAACCCCGGCGCCTGCTGACTCATGAGTCAAACCACCTGTCACTCATATCACAGCGATGGCCCGCGGCTCAATCCACCCAGGGGACAAAAAACGCAGCTTATGTTGGTCCGCAGGAGCAGATTACTTGCACTCGAGGTCTGCAAGACGTAGATATGTTGAAGTGTCCTCTGGGAGAGCTAAATCTCCAGCGAAGTAGCTCATAAGTAGATATCGAGGCGCCAAAGCTCTGTGTGCAGGGAGACGCTCTGTCTCTACTCGCTTGTTCATCATATGTTCCTGGAAACAAATCACCAGCGAGATGGAAGATTAAGTGTTTTACTGGGACGAGAACTACCCCCCACCCCCCCGCCCACCTACTTTTATCCCCCACCGACCTCACGTGTCCTCCCAGTGAAAAGTGTGTTGACCAGTACAAAGCAGCTGGATCGGGATCCTCTCTCTTCCTGCCAGAACACACAAAGTCACACGACGTAATCGCTGTCAAACCGAGGCTCTGCGGTCTCAGGGAGGGGGGGGGAAACACTCCTGAGGCAAAAGTCAAGGAGCCCTTTCATTGGCTGTTTGAAAACTCCTGTCGCCCTGCCAGCTGCCTCTGCCAAGTCTTTCTTTACATTACCTTAGATCTCCCCCCCCGAGTGGCAGCGGCAGCGGCAGCGGCGGCAGCGGCAGCGTCATTAAAGCAGCCGGTGCTCAGGAGCCACATCGGGACTGAGTGTGAGTTTTGGACCGGAGTCTGAATTAAACTCGTCTCTTGACTCGTGTTAAAAGTTTGATGATGTCTTTACACGCATTCACCGGCCTGGCGCTGGCACGCGCACAGCTGCTCTCGCCCAGGTGATCTAATCCGAGCTGACTTGCTGGTTAAATATTGACAGGAGCTGACGTGGGCTCGCTGAGCAGAATTCAGACGAGGCTTTTCTCTGCCGGCGCTGCGTGCCGCATCATCATTCCAACTCGCTCTCTCTCACACACACACACACACACACACACATGCACACAGTGGCAGCCGGCAGCTGAGACTCGGCGAGGGGGTCGGGGGGCAAGAAGAGGCACAACGAAGCGGGAGGCGAGCAGACGACAGAGGAAAAAGCGGCAGCGCGGGATGAGCCGGTTCGAGGGCCGCGGCGCGGTGTCGGGCTGCGGGAGGATCCGGGACGCCCCCCTGCTGGAGCTGCTGGCGGTGAGTCCGTCCGTCGGGGAGGTAACCGGGGCGAGGGGCGGCCTGTCTGGCGCTGGAAGTAGGTCTGACGGGGCGATAATCAGGGTAACATCCTGGCCTCGGGTCCCGCCAAATCCACAGCCACCTCCAGCGCCAGTGGCCCAGACGGGAGACAGGAACTGCCCAGGGGGAGAGGTGCAGGCCGGGGGGGAGGGGAGGAGGGTGGGGGAGTTAAATGGCATCAGGAAGTGAGTGAAGTGCAAGTTTGTATAAGCATGCAATAGCTAACGCGTTTGTGTTGTGGTAAAACAAGAGTTTTTTGATTGATTTAAAAGTGGAAAAAACGTGACGATTTGCCGGTTGCTTTCCTGTAAATTGAATATATTTAGGTTTCTTTTTGGTTACTGTCTGCTTGGTTCAACACAATAAGTGCATTTCACAGACTAAATGATTACTTGTCTAATAAAAACAACACCGTAGAGAGGAATTTACAGGCATCGCTATTTGGAGCCGAGGCTTTCCTCCGGGACCGACGCGGTGTGTGTCCGTGCTTGTCGAGTGTGAAGGAATGTGGGACTTCTTGTGTGGTGGATGCAGAGTAATCTCTCCGCGTTCCATATGTAGGTCAGTAGCCGACAAGCTGCAACTACCACTAATTACATGCGCGTTGTTCCACGTTTGCCCCGTACATCTCCACGCGGTCGGAATCATGAGACCTGCCATCTGCACATATGTTTAAGATGGATGATGACATTCGACAGTTTATAACCAGGTTGCCTAATGAGCTGTGTGCGTTTGTGCATTTGTGTGTGTGTGTGTGTGTGTGTGTAGCAACAGCCGGATCTAAAAATATCACCGAATAGCTCTGATTCTTGACTCTTTTCTTTTTTTTTTTGGAGCAGCTACAGCTTAAATGATGTTGTAGCCTAAGTGCTTCTTCGTCTTATTGGATTGTCTGGAAAGAAAGGAGATTTGTGTCCTTTTTGGAAAGGTCGTAAAAAAAGAAGAAAAAAACCCAGAGGAAAGAAAATTGATGATTTTGGGGATTTGTGTTTTGTCTTTTCATTTCGTCACCACTCTTCAAGAGTCCGTCCAGGTGATTTGGTTGCGACACAATCATACAGACAAACGTCTCGGTCGAGCTCCGAGGATCCCTGTATCCTTTATCTAATTACATTAACAGGAGCTGGATAGCGACTAATGGCTCTTGGAGGAGGGGGAAAGAGAGAGAGGGGGGGGCACGAGGAGCTGGAGAGGATGCATGATTGCGTTTTTCCATCTTATTTCTCTTTCTTGCTTTCTTCGTGCCCGGATTGCTCCCCGTGCTCCTGTTAGAACCCCCCCCCCCACACACACACACACACTTTTTCCAGCCTGGACAATGTAGCAAAAATACTGAGAGTGATTTCTGTCTTTATGTGCAACGGTTGTCGGCCTTATGGCTGTCCGTCATATTTCGGTGATGTTTGTTTGCACTGAGGATCAAACCAAATAACGCTTTGCCACAAGAGACTCTCCTGAGAACGTTGCTTTTATTTGCGAAATGCATAACGGCGCCACGTGCACCGAGGCCGCAAGTGCATGCCGACTTTTTGACGCGCGAACCACCGCAAAAGTCCAGGAGCGGTTTCTCCGTATCGCCCTTTGAACCTTGAAAAGGAGACGATAGGAGGGGCTCCGCTCCTCATGACTCAGTCATCGCAAAGCAAATCTCTCTTTTTTTCATGCTCGGACCCATTAGCTAATAAGTACATAATCCAAAGCATAACATGTAATTTTGGATTAAGTTCTCGTAGGGCAGCCATTGCAAAGTGTGTCCAAAAGGAAATCCCATCTGAGCTCTTTCACGGCCGTAACGCAGGTCGTCGCTCAGCAACAAAAAGAAATCACCAAAGGGAAATCTGCACGTTATCTCTAGGTGCAATAAATCCGGATACAAAAATCATAATTAACCATGAAAATGCAATTAGTCTATCCTTAAATGATAACAGCAGACGCTCCCACACTATGTCATGTTTTCTGAATATAGAAGGAACGCCGACACTTTGCATCGTTCATATTTCAAATCGCCATCGCTGCTCAGCGAGGGAACAAAGAGAAGAAGACATGCACGCAGTGTTTGGAGGGAAGGCGTCTCCCGACAGTCACCATGGACAGGGGGACAAAACAACAGCACACCTGGCACAGGTGACGCAAAATGAGTCGTCTGAGACGCCCCGTTGGAGACAACGACGACTGAGTGACTCGTTTGTGCAGCCGAGCCGCATTGCAGCGCGGGACGAGTCACAGCCGCGCCACATTAGCGCTAATTAGACGGCGGCAACAAGAGTAGAAAGTAGTCTGTGCACCGCTGCCGGTTCGTACAAAACAAACTGTGCACAATCCCACGCGATGGCTGGTTGGCTTTAATCAAGCATCGACGTGGTCGTTTGAAAGCGTGTTAATACGTGCAGCATCGGAAAGCGATCTGGTTCTGATGCCATTTGAGGCTCGGCGGGCAGTAGTTTCCTGTTTTCCCCGTTAGCGCTTTGCATCAGCGGCTACAGGAGATCAGCAGCGTGCTGGCTCACATTACTTTATGCTAATGTCCCCGGCTGCAACCTGCACCACCATCCTGCTTCCCTGCTTTGCCTTCACTGGCTTACACACACACACACACACACACACACACACTCGCTCGCACAAGCCCCCGGGACAGTCATGGGAGGGCCATGAAAAGGAAGCCGAGATGATTAATTAACTCTGCCCTCATTTTGATACCACCTTATTGGCTTTCCAAATTCAGCATCAGAGCTTTGCATGGATTATCTACCCCACACCACCATCACCACCACCACCACGGCCTCAACAGCCTCCACCCAAACAGACACACAAACACACTTCCCAAATATTGAGGTCATGCAGCCACCCGTGCTGCGCTGAAGTTGCAGCACGGGGTTCTGGGTATGTTGCGTTACTCAGCAGAGACTGAGCTGTCTGCTTTGTTTACGACGGATGACAAAGAAACTGACCATGTTTTCGCCCCCAGACGGGTTTGAATTAATAGTTGAGGTTGATTTGGATTCAATGGCGTGCAGCTCAAATCTTTATAAAGCCCACGTGTTTCCATGACGGTTTGGGTGGCGTCGCTCTGCAAAAGCGTAAGTGAAATCCATTAATCCTGCAGAAGCTGCCAACTCGCTGCAGTGACTAAAAATGATACTCAAATGATATGAAACAAGTTGTGCCTCCTTCTTCGTGCATTTATGCCCTATCAATGCTTGCTTATATATATATATATATATATATATATACATCCATAACACCCCGGCTGAGTGTGTGTGCTTCAGTGTGGCGGCCTCACATGTCTGTCTGTGTGTGTGTGTGTCTTTGTGTGTACTGGTGAACACCAGGTGCTCCAGCTGGTTGTGTCCCGGCCCTGACTGACCGTCCTCCGGTCCCTTGTGCTTTTTCTATTGATGACAGCCTCTGAGTGCAGACGGCTCTGCAGCTCTAAAGGGCCTGTCCCGTCCCTGCAGGAGAGCGAGACACAATACAATAGTGCTCCTGTATATTGTCTATACACTGGGGAACGGCCTGCAGCACAGCTGTCTTTTTTTGTTTTAAGCTCTGTTTGCTGTCCCTTCTGCTTCCCGTTGCCTCTCTCATATTGTGCACATGCTAGAAGTCATCACCCCCCTTCCCACCCTCCCTCCCTCCGATTCTCCACAGCATCCTGCGCTGGGACTCGCTCGTATACGCCTCACACCCCGAGAGATCCGTCGAGCTTCAGACCGCAGTGTGTTGCGGTGTAATGAGGTGTTGTCCGCAGGGAGCTTGATCTCCTCTGACACGGCTAATGCGCCCTGTCAGAAGCGTTCGAGGCTGACGCCGGACTCGTCTCCAGTTGGCGAAAAAGCCAAGAGTCGAGCGGGAGTCGAGCGGTGAGTCCAGCTCACCGCATCCGGCTGCCGGCTCCACTTACAGCACCGCCCCCCGCGGCGCGGAAGCCGTGACCTTCGCGGCGCTCCCGCTTGTTTGAGGAGTCGGGTTGCCGTCGGGACCGATAGGTGACTTTGTCGACCGTTTCCCGGGCGGGCAGGTCACAAAATCAAGCCAGCGCTTTGCATCGCCACATGGCATTCAATGGCGTTATCGCTGGTTTAGGAGCGCCCGTCATGAGACACATTATCTAAAATGACCATCATATGTAGAGTTTTGCAGAGCAGAGCCATTGCTACGATTAGAGGCAGGAGATGCGAGATGTTGCACCATCATGCAGAGTTGGCGGCTGGAAAATTGGCCATTTCTGCAAATTCAATCACTTGCTGCAAAAAAATCCTCCCTCGGCCAACAGGATTCAAGAGAATCTCTGCAACAAATGAAACTGTTGGAAATAGTGTTTTCTTTTAAAATGAACAGTTTGCACATCTGTTTATTTTGCATTTAGATGCTTTTTAATATCATTAATTGACCCTCGAGGGGAAGCACATTGGATGCTCGGCTCTTTGTCCAAAGATCCATGAGAAAAATCAATATCATCTGCATGTAGTAACATTTGTCTGTGTGAGTCATCCGGCTGGCTGGAGCCATTCACATTATTGAGTCTCAGTCACTTTCTGAGGAGATAATATGATCTGCATGCCTCTGAGTCCATAACTCAACTTTATGGTGATGTGCTGGTGCTCAATGATTTTCCGGGACGCTCTCTCGGTTGGCCAGACATCCGAGGAGTGATTCGGGTTTTATGAGGCGCACGGAGCCTCAGGTGAGCAGGATTGAATGAGGGATGCGTTGCTGAGGACAGTTTGACCCTCGGGGCTGATTGTCTGAAGTGTCAGTGGTCAACGACTTTGTCTTTGTGTGTGGTCACGGTGGTCACCGAGGGGCCATTGTGGGACCCTGTGGCGGCCAGCGGGCCGTTGAGCCGCGACCTAACGTCCATCTGGCACAACAGCTGGAGGAGCTGTGGCTTTCCACGGGAAATTATGCAGAGCAAAGATGATTCCTGTGATTATTTAATTACCTTCGTTTCTCTGAGG